ACAGATAACTTCAGAAAAACCTCAAATAAATATAGGGTGGACACTCTCTTGCTCTTTACTGGCATTTGTTTATTTAATCAAATAGAGGTAGATAATTTGGATGTCTTTACCTACTGGCTGGTAGCCCTGCCTTGCCAGCCCACCGAAGGGGTTTCGACTGCCAAAGGCCCCCCCATCAATGGATCCATAAGACATCCTGGTTTCTCTATATGTATCTCACCAGACAGGAAGCTGAAAGATAAATCAGAATCAGAATCACTATGATAACTCAGGAGGACCGACATCATTTCATTTGTATTTCATTGAAATACAGTCAGCTGCAATCAGAACTGTATCATATGTGCATGTGTATGACTCTATGTATACATGAATATCACATGTATATGTATATTGTTTGTATATACTGTATTTTGATTTATAAATTATAATGGAGTTTAATTATATTACAAGAAACAAAATATTGTCCTTAGCATCATTCTCTGTAACTTAAACAGTTCACTCTGTGATACATTATAGATACTGTCAAAAACTGAAGAATTAGTATTGCAAAATCAACAGCATGAGTTTTAATGTACAGTCAGTGGAAAAAGCATCAGCTTTAATCTATATCTTTGTTAGCTGGTTCTAATGTACTGTAAAACATCACCTTGTGATAGCATAGCAGCTAATGCAGAAAAAATGTTCAGTACTGTATGTTCCAACCTTTGGAAAGTGGTTCTCATCTTCACTTTCATACATTTTTAAAGAAATACCTAGGATTACCCCTTGCAGATATTATCCAGTGATTTGACAAAGATGAAACTTTCCATCTACTAAATGGGTCAGAATCTCCCCTTTTGTTTTTAATATGTTCTTCACAGGCAATCACAGTACTGTATTTCATTCCTGAATGCTGTTGTGTTGTGTCCTATCTTGCATATGGGTCATCCCATACATTCTTAGGAATAATCTAAGTCAATTTATTATGACATCTTTATCAAAGTGTTTATCCCTTGCTTCTCTTTTGGCTAAACATGTTTTATAATATCTGACAGAATCACTCAGTTAATTGTAAACAACTCAATCCAAAGTTAACTGGACAGTGAGAAGATATAAAGGGCAAGTCATCATTGCCAGAACATCAGATTAACGGTCATGTCACACAGGACAGGAAGGAAAATAAGTCCCCCCACTAACCGCCGTAGGCTAAGAGACACCAGAAAACTCCCTGCTGCAAGTTCATCATAGAAAATGTACACTAATTTTGACCTAGTCTACATTTCACATTGCTTTGACATGTTTCCTGTTATTTTGTCATACTGCAACTTACTGTAGTTTTATGGTGCAAAATTCAATACAGATATCTTAAATGGAGTTTAATTGTCAAATCACTCCTATAGTAACACCTGCAGCATTTCAGATTAAAAAAATGCCTAACATAGATTTAGCATGATTGCATACATACATTGCAACTCCTAATGTCTAAGAGTTTTGTACAGCAGTGTAGCTGTTCTTCATTCCAAAGATTAAACTAGAGCATTTCTAAACAAAAAATATTTTAAATACATTGACATACATTTAAATAACAAATACGTGTAGTTAAATTAAATTATTTATAAAGGATAGAAAAATAGTAACAGCAGTCAAAACCAGTGATGAAAGGAGTACTAAAAATAATTAGTTATCTAGAATCAGAGAAGTGTACAAGCACATTTGTAACCTGAATAAACAATTTTAAGAGGTTTCCTTTCAGATTTCTTATTTAAATTGTTAATGTAAAAAATATTTAACATCTCCATCTCCCTTTTTGGTCACATTTTCCATAAACTAGCATCTGCTGACCAACAGATATTATAGGACACAAGAAGATCTTTCAAAGACATAGACTGATGTCCATCAAGTGATGCCTAATCTGAGAGTCGAAGTTAGTCTTTCACTTGTTGGTGCTCAACATGAAAAAACTGTCATTCAAAAAATAAAATGAGAAAAGAATATTCCGATATCATATATCGATTTCTTGGTTTAAAACAGAAAAAAAAATGTGTGCATGGCAGTTTGCCTGTATTGCACAAATTATTGCAAAGAAAATCACATTAAAGGCCAAGCATCTGTGTTTGTGCTCCTGTGAGTTCTGTGACACAAACTGGCATTAGTGAGACAAGGTAAAGGGGTGGTGTGCATACATGTATGTGCCAGGCTGTCACCATTAGCTGCAAAAGGGAGGCGTGTGTGAGTGTGAGTGTGTACCTGTGACACGAACTGACATTAGTAAAGCCAGGCAGAGGGCAGATGTGTGTAAATTTGTGCAAGAGTGTGTGCAAGTAGACTAAGGTGACATCAACTAGTATTATTCAGAGAATTAATCAAGCTTTAAATCAAATTTACACTGTGCATAGCAGCCGGTCTAATTGTCACACCATATGAAAGGAATGAAATGGAAAGAAAGGCTCTAATTGCACAAGGAAAAGGTTAATGAATGGAGCACTCCTCCATAGCAATTTGTTTTCTGTTTCCTTTTTCAGGTTTGCCCCCAGTAGTTGGTTTGAAAGCTCTTTCTGCTAAGCAGATCAGAGAGCCCGTCATGATCTTTCTATTATAAATAGCTGAATGGAGGTGATGCGTTGTGACAGCTTAGCACTGTGTTGTGACCTCAAGGTAGAAGAATACTCCCACACCACTACAGCACATACTGTTGCAAGGGCAGTAGTATCCTCAGCAACAATCACCCTAACTCTCACAGGACAGGTACCAAAATACAACCCCCCCACAGTAGACTAAGAGACACCAGAAAACTCCCTGCTGCAAGTTCATCATAGAAAACTAACACTAATTTTGATCTTGTCTACATTTTACATTGCTTTGACATGTTTCCTGTTATTTTGTCATACTGCAACTTAGTTTTATAGCACTAGTTTAATGGTATCATAAAAATCACATTTAAATGGACAGAAGGGATGTAATTGTAAAGAAGTTGTGAGTTTGTACTGTTACATAGTATTATAATGGGCTAGAATAGTAAAACACTGTGAAAAATGTGGTCAAAACACAGGAAAAATAGTTTCATGGTAGATCTGTGGAGAAGGCATTAGATAATGGGAAGAAACAAAATCACTGTGCTTAGTCAGCCTAGGACACAATGTATCATTGCTTTGGGGGCTAATTTAAAAACAAATGGAAAGCAGTGTGCTTTGTCTAAGCTAAAAGATTTGTACCATCTGGTTAAATGAGCTCAGGTAGAATATAAAAGGGTATCAGGGTGTGAATGAGGTGATTAAGGTAGCCTCAGGCAGTTTCGAAAGACAAGTTTGGAAGTTCAGTCTTTACATGTAGAACAATAGTTGCAGTACCTGATCGCCTTTGTTTGCTATTGAAAATGAATAAATTAGAGGAGACCCTTGTCCTCTCCCTGTCTACAAAGCTAAATGTGGACACAGTTTCAGAGCCACATTCCCACTGGAACACAACCAACAGTTCTGAATGTGTGATCAGCCTGCTCATAAAATAGAAACTGCAATATATGGAGATGTGTACTGTAGCATGTTCAGCAAATAAAATCTGTGCCTGAAATGAGCTGATGCGTGTGTTTGGGAATGAAGTCATAATAAATAGAATGATTTTAAATCAGCAGTATCCTTTTTTCTTATTGAACATACATTATGTTTTATTTTATACTTACAGTAGGTTGTTTGTGCTTATGTTGTGCATGCAAAAAACAATTATTTTAAAATTATTATCCTCTATTATGTGTATATGAAGCATTGGATTATGAATTATTTTAATCCATAATGTAAGTAAACCCTCAAGCAAATAAATCTATATATAGAACAAGAATGTCTTTTATTCATTTACTTTAAAAGTCACAGCTGTAATTAAGCAGACATGTAAGAGTAAAATATCATTCATAGATTGTGTTATATTTGGCATTTTGTATCAGTATTATATTTGGACATACAGTAACTGCAGTATTTTATGAATATTAATATCAGGAAAATCTATAGTGAGAAACAAAATTAAAGGCTTTTGATGCATCTGTCTAGAAGGTATGATTATTGGGCAGGATGCCAATAATTCTGCAATTAATGTTTTATCATGAAATATGACAAATGGAAAAAGACCTGATTTAGTTGGGATGGAGAAGTCAGTTCCAGTCTGAATGAATTGTAAACAGACCCTCTTACTTTTCCTAATGGACTAGTTCTCTAAGAACAGGCCCATTCCCCAGAGAGGACAGGAAAAGATCAGTTTAAGAGCCTTGTTTCCAGGTCATGTGGGAATGTAATCAGATTAATTATTATGTAAGGAAAGATTAATTACTTCTGGCAACCAATAAGCACTTTCCTCTCTTCCTAATGTCAAGCCTGTGAGAGGGCATCTAACATGTACCACCACACCGACTTGACTCTGTCAGATGAATTGTCACACGTTTCTTCAAAAATGGTATCCAGCAAGAGGTGACATGAAGTCAAATTCATTGGTCAAGAAAACCACAAGCAGATGCTTATTCAAAGCAAAATACTTTCCCATAATTAGATGCCTCCTCCACCTACTGTAGCATGCTCCCTCCTTTAAAGATATTAATAGAAGCTTTGTCAGCTCATACAGGCACACTGCCAATGAGGTGGCTCTGGACCCCTCACATATAGGAGATAATGGCAGTGAGGGGGCTTATCTTCCTAAAAACATCTCTGTCACCCGGTTGAATAAAGAAAAAAAAAACATTTCAAAATGTCATGTTTAGAATTCATTCTTGCTCATTCTTTAGAGAAATGTGTCCCCATTCTAAAAGCTTTTGTTCATTAAATAAAAAAAATCATCTACATTTCACCTTTTAATTGAGTACAGTTTAAATGAAGTCATCATCATTGTCATATTTGTTGTCTGACTAACAAGACCATTCAGGCTAATTGTTGAATGATTCTGTTTGTGCCCAATACTTGGGTGACAGTTTTTTTTTTTAATGTGACACACTCATATTACCAGTTTGAAAGCCTGTCAATAGAGAAGAAGTGGGATAAAACTGATGGACATATCTCTGCTGTTAATGTTACTGCTTTTCTTTTCTTTGTTCATTTGTATCCTGATCCAATAATTGTAAAATATGTGGGCTTTATAAAAGATACTGTAACATAAATAGCAAAAATGCACATTACAAACAATGGTCCTTTGGACATAAAACTTTTTGATTGTTATAAAATGTTCCTTCATTGTAAAAAATGTGTAAGAAAACATAGCCCACATAATCTTGATAAATA